GTGGTTGTTAAGTCAGGAACATGGCTGTTAAGTGAATCTGGGCTTCTCCATTGGGTAAGGTGACCAGACATCCCGCTTTTGGCGGGACATTCCCGATTTTTAACAATTTGTCCCGCATCCCGCGGCGTTTTAAAAACGTCCCGGTTTTTTAAAAAAATGTAATCAACACCCCCCCCCCCCCCCCCGGTCAATGGTGTCCCTCTTTACCAATGTTAAAATCTGGTCACCTTAGACATGTATTATTTATGAACAAATCTGTTAAGTAAATCTTCTGGTATTAAATCTTTCCTATGGATACAAAAGTTAGAACTCTAATTTCTCTACTTATTGGGTTTACTGAGTGAGATAAGACAATCAAAACAATACTGGAAAGTGCCAATAGTTACAATTTACAAGCAAAAATAGGCAGTCTATATTGCTCTTTTGAAAGCATAAATACATAAATCATTTCTGTACAATCGTTCCAATTGTTGTGCACTGCCCAGAGTCACTTTTGATGAAATACAAATTTTATTAATAAAATAAATGTTTATAAATTAATTTTGGTGAAATACAAATTTTATTAATAAAATAAATAAATTTCTAATCTAAACCATCTTGAACTCAAATTGTCCTCTCTTGTGTTGTATGTAAAACAGCTGTGTTGAATCAAAACAGACTACTTCAGTCATTTTGGAGCTGGTTTGAACTCAAGATACACCTGAACTGAGCCAAACAATTGTTTTGAACTTGCAATAGAGTTTGTTTAAATAATTAGAAATTATTTAAATTCAAAATATTTTATACAACACTATGTTGGAAGGAAAATCCATCTGGTTCAGTTCCAAGCTGGGAGAAAGATGCTGGAAATAAAATGGAGGTTGGAGGCTGATTGGAAAGAAGGTCCATTTATGAACAGAACCATCAGGCTTTGTGGCTCTGGGGCAGCTGACCAAGTGGTTGAATGAGTGGATGGGTCTTTATAGGTTTCTATGACTTTGAAATCTGAACTGTTCTGGGGGTTGTGCAATGAAGGGGCTTATGTTCTGAAAGGGTACAATTCCTATTGTGTCTCATGGCTTTCCTCCTGTGTTGGATCATGGGTGAGGGGGTGCTTGTTCTAATCCTACCATTCTGCTTTTGTTAGCTGTCAAACTTTCCTGTCTTGAATGGGCTTCTGCTGGCAATATTTGCTTTGCTTATGAATGGAGCCATCTAGATAGTTGGCTTCCTCTTTCAATAAGCTCTTTATCTCCTTAAGTGCTGGCATCTGCTGTGGGCTATTGAGAAAGACTGGGGGCTGCTTTCTGCCTCTAAAAACATGTTTCCCCATTTCTCCTTTAGGGAAATATAATATTCTGCCTTTTTAAATATTTTCCAAAATATGAAATATTTTAGTGGGTGGGGGTTTCCCACAACTACTTGAAATTTTCTGTCTACACAATTTTATTTTCTGTTACTCTGTCAAAACAAAGATACTAGGCACCGATATGCCTCTTTTCAGCATATACTTTGGCACAGCAGAGCATCAGTGTCAATATTTTTTTTGTTTTCAAGAGTCGTACTATGGATGATGGAAAAAAGCCTGTTTTGCCTTCTGGCTAATGTGCATTTTCACTGGCAGCGTCCATTATGGCAGCCATTTTGTGAACATACATACCTTCATTCATTTGAGATGTCCATCTAGGCCAGGGGTCCCCAAACTTGGCAACTTTAAGACTTGTGGACTTCAACTCCCAGAATTCTCCAGCTGGCTGAAGAACAATTCTAGGAGTTGAAGTCCACAAGTCTTAAAGTTGCCAAGTTTGGGGACCTCTGATCTAGGCTTTCATAAAACTTAAGGCACATGGAACCTGTTTTATCCCTAGATTGTGACCATAATTTTCATTGCAAAATTCATGGATCCATTCCTTCTAGGAGCCATTGGCCTTTATGGATGTTATACTGAATTTATTTTAAAACTGGGATGTTTATTTCTTTTGAATTATGCAATATAGTGAGGCTGCAGTAAAGCAGACACAAATGATAATGTGCCAGCAGATAGCATGTTTAGTGGCTTTAAACTTCCCTATGCTCCCTTTTTATTTTAAAAATAGTAATCAGAACGGTGGGGTGTTGTCAAGTTACAAAGCAAAATCTTTCCTTCTGAACCCCAAATGAACCTTATAAGCTATCTTTGAAAATAAAATTGACGGATAGCTTCCCTGTTTTGCTGAAAACTGAAGGATCTGTTTTGTTTAGAGTTGAGAAAATCAAGCGGCGGACAAGGGCAATAACAGGGTGAGGTATGGCTTGGCAGGGGCCTTTAGTGCAGTGACTTTGAAAAGTACAGATTCTTTTTGTCATGGGAATAGCAATTCTTTGATACTCCATATGCTGAGAAAATGCATATTCCCAAGACACTCAATAAATTGATATTAAACATAACAGGTAAAAAGAAAAAAAAATACTCCAGAGAAAAAATTAGGTTCTCTCTAGAGCAGTGTTTCTCAACCTTGGCGACTTTCAGTCCTTTGGACTTCAACTCCCAGAATCCCCCAGCCAGAATTCTGGAAAGTTGAAGTCCACAGGACTGAACGTCGCCAAGTTTGAGAAACACTGCTCTAGAGTATAAAAGGAATATAGCATGAAGGGCAGGAAATTTCTGGCATTAATTCAGGCGAGGTACTGGTGATTCCTCCCCCCGCCCCCATTGGTACATAATGCTGGATCAGTAGGAAAAGACGGAAGTAAAGCCACCATCCATTGCCCTGAAATATCCTGCAATCAAAACTGTGAAAGGTTGTTGAGGCACAATAAAGCTCAGCTCCAAGATGGCTTTCTTAAGACTGATGACACGTCCTCACACCAGTGCCTTCATCTGAGGGTCAGTCTGCCACTAAAGCAAATGCAGGCTGTGTCAAAGAGATCCAGAAGGAAAGTAGTTTCCATGAAAAATCAGTTCAAGTCCTCCTTTCTGTCACCATATGGATTCACAGGGAGGGGAGTGAAGGACCATCCCCTCCCATCTGGCCACAGATGTATCTCCATGGTCATTTCCCCTTTGGTTGCTGGAAACAGCAGAGCCTTGTGGGCAGTCAAGTTGTTCTGTTCTCTTTTTGGTTCCACTGAATGCCAACATTGTGGAAGATATTCCATGGGGTCAATGTTCTTACCAGCCACCTCCAGTGCATTTGCGGGGTGGGGGTGATAGGGATGACAGCCCAACAAAGCAGTGTTGTAGCTTTTCAAATCAAACGCTGCCACTTTTCCATCTTGTGATCCTGCACATACAGGATGCAAAACAGGTAGAGCCTGTGGGATGACACTGCTTTTGCCGGTCTTAGAAAAGCATCTGAATCTTTCAGATGCCACTGCCTGTCTTCCACCAAGATATATCAGCCTTTATTTCCGCCAGTGCTGAAGAGAATGACTGCTGCCTCCCAGCGTCAGGGGAGTGGCAGTGGTGATCCCAGGGACTTTTCCTAGTTCTTTGCAGTTGCAACCTACCCTCCTATGTGGCAACAATTTGGTTGACCTCGTTTTTGAGACACAGCAAAGGGACAGCTGTCGTCCAGTGGAAGGCAAGAAAACCCCAAGCCAAGGGTGTGGTGAAGAGCCCTTTGATTCTAATGCAGGGATTGCAGTCAGCACCTTGAAAGGGCTCTAGGATTTGAGCCAACATCCCCGAGCTATGCAGTAGAGTGGCCTTAGAGCATAGAATAACAGGGTTGGTTGGTTTTCTACTCAACCTCCTGCTCGAGCAGGGGACCCGATGCCATTTCGATGATCCAGTCTCTTTGAAAGCCTCCAGTGATTGCGATAAGCCACCAGCGAAGCTCTGTCTCCCTATCGCTCGCGGTCTAAGCTTAAGGGCCCGAAGAGCCGGACAAGAACAGCGCCGCGTCAAGAGCAGGACGTAGCTGGTAGCGGGAGAAATCCCCCCGCCCGGCTCCTCGGGAAGAAGAGGGCGCAAATTGGGTCGCCTCCGCTTTTCCTCTCTGGCTTGGGAATGTTTTCCTTGGGTGACTCGCTTGACCGCTCCTCCCGGTCGTCGCCCGCGCTCGCCTATGCCGCGCGTCAGTCCCGTGAAAGCTCAGCTACGCACGGGGCCGCTCCCGTGACGTTGCCGCTCCCGCTCGCCGCATCTTGCTGGCTGCGCCTCCGACCTCTCAAGCGCGCCCATTTGGCCGAGGCGGAAGGCGAACACCTGGCCCGAGCCCTTTCGTCATCCGGGCGCTTTCGCTCCCAGCCGCGGCTCTGGACTTGTCCCGGGAGAGGCTTCTCTGAGGGACCGGAGGGAAGGACGCATGCCCGGAGTTTGCCGCGGAGGGAAGGCGTCTTGCCATGCGAAGGGCTTCCCCGCTCTTGAGAGGAAGCGAGTCGGCCCGGTAAATATGGTCAGTCATGTCGTGGCTGGCTTGCTGGCTGGATGAACTCCAGCGGTTCTCGCTGCTCTCCTTGTTTACAGCCGCTTTGGCCATCCTGACTGTCTACCTGGTGCAATATGGCCTGAGCGTCCTGCGGCAAGGCGGTGGGAAGCCGCCTCCCCGGCCGTCGCGCCCGGGACTTCTGCAAGAGGACGAGGGGGGCTCCCTTTTCACCTGGCTGATGTCCCTGGACAGCTGGAAGAGCGAATGGCAGAAAGCCTGGATCGCAGCGCTGAACAAGGAAGCTGGATTGCGGGAGGTGAGTGAATGGCAGGACCCCACTCCAGCAGGGATGTGTGGGTGTGTGCGTGTGCGCGCGCGCGCGGGCCACGGGAGTAAAACTAGAACGCAAAGCTCTTGCAGCGCCTTAGTGGTCATCATTGTACTGGGGAGCTTCTACAGCTAAAAAAAAATGTGGCTTCACTGGCGTGTAAAGGTTTGCACTGACCTCTAGTGTTTTCTCTTGTTATGCAATCCTGTTGTGTGTGGGAATGTAGCTTTAAAAAAATCATCAACAGGATCTGCTTAGTAATGGTTCGATCCTAAACTAAAATTATCTTGAATCAATGAGGGGGTCTCTTTCAGGGAAAAGGTGATCGTCTCTTCTTCTCTAACCCTTAAAAGTATAGGTAGTCCTTGACTTACAATAGTTCACTTAGTAACTCTTCAAAGTTACAATGGCACTGAAAAAATGACTTATGACCATTTTTCACACTTATAACCATCACCATTCCCATGGTCACAGGATCAAAATTCAGATGCTTGGCAATTGGTCCATATTCATGACAGTTGTAGTGTCCTGAGGTCATGTTATCAATTTTTGCAACCGTCTTACAAGCAAATTCAATGGGGAAGCCAGATTCACCCTGTTACTAGCTTAACAACTGCAATGATTCATTTAACAACTGTTGCAAGAAAGGTTGTAAAATGGGGCAAAACTCAATGTTTCCATTAGCAACATAAATGTTGGGCTCAATTGTGGTCATAACTCAAGGATTACCTGTATTTGCAGGTATAGTCATGTTGACCCCTTCCTAAATTTCTAGAAAGTAATAGTAAATAGGATAAAATGATCATTAATTTTCCCCTGCTTGTTCTTGAGGAATGGCTGAGAGATTTCATTTATTCTACTTAATGTGCTTTTCCAGCCTGCTATTGTGTATGTTCCAATAATAATTTTTAAAATGGAAAAGTAAACAGTAATTTGGGGAAGAGGGTCAAAGAGTAGGAAACAAACTTACTGTAAAAAGTCTGATAGGAAATTAACAATACCTTGCCTGCGTACATCCTTTCCAAGAAAGCAACTGCATCCTCTTCTTTTTAGCTCACTGCTTGGCAGACAATGTTTCTACTTCCTCACTCAGCCTTCCAAATTCAAAACAATGTTGTCATTGCAAAACTGCATTTGTTTTTGCTGCTTCGCCACCATAACAAACGAGCCTTGGAATAAAGGGAAAGCACATGCCACAGATGTTACGTTCTTTATTATTGTATTTGGCAATAAAGATGACACCTGAGTTCTGTTCTCCACTAGATAATTAAATAAGGTGAACATGTTTGTTCCCTCTCTCTTTCATGCTGTTTCCCATGAAAGTATTTCTTATATTTAAATACATTTGGAAATGTAAAGAATAGAGAGTTTGCAATTATAATATATCAATTCATTTTATTGCTAAACAACCAAGGGTTTTGTGATGAACATTTATATTTAGTATAGCATAATTTTATGTACAGAATACCACAGTCTGTGAAATTAGGCCTGACTGTATAAGATAATAGTTCTCTGCGCCTGACTGCCTTTTGTCAGGAACACATTCGAAACACAAATTAAATCATTTGGTTTGGTCTCTTAAACTAGATGCCAGAAAAGGTTGAAGTTACACGAGTAAAAAAATAATTTATGACTGTTTACACTTATGACAGTTGCAGCATTCACGTGATCACTTAATCAAAATTTGAGTGCTTGACAACTAGCATGTATTTATGACAGTTGCACTGCCCCAGGGTCACGTGATCACAATTTGTAACCTTCCATCTGACTTCCAACAAGCAAAGTCAAAGGCAGAAGCCAAATTCACTTAATGACCACATGATTCATTTAGGAGGTGCAGTGATTCACTTAACAGCCATGGAAAAAAGGTCATAAAATGGGCAAAACTCATTTAACAACTTGTTTAACAATTGAAATTTTGGGTTCAATTGTGGTCTTAAGTCCTCAGTTGTATTCAATGAAACATAATTAAATGATAGTTTAGTGCATTCTGTGAAGCATTCAATGTTTAAATGAAGATGAAAAATTATAGCATTTGTTCTAGGGATTATGTTATATTTAATATATTTTATAGCATACTGTCACATCTCAAAGCAGATTACAATAAAATGCTAAATATAATAATATAAAAGTAAATTAAAAGGAAGTACATAATCATTAAAGAGGTGAGGGAAAAAGCAAAGGAAAGGAAAACCAAAATAAATTCATACTAACAAGACCTAGGTGAAGAGAGAGACCTCCAGAAGGGGACTAAAGGTATTATGTCGGCAAGCCTATTATAGTACGCTGTAGTAATCGTATTGAGAAAACCAGGCAGAAGTAGGATTTTTATCCATAGGGTTTTTTATGCTCTAAATTTGATGGCAAAATTGAACATGAACATCCAGCAAAATGCAGAAAAGGTTTCTTAAGAATACATGCAAATATATTTAACAAATTGCAGTTAGTTACAATTCTAAGTTATTTATTCCCATGGAAGTTTGAAACCAAACGGATGTTTACCCCACCTTATTTTGCTTCACATAATTTAATTCCTGCAGGGGCTGTTGCTTTTTCATAATATTTCTTAATCTAGTGCACTTACAACAGGTAACACAATAAAGAACCAAGAGTGTACACTCAAAACCTGTTTTTAAAACTCTGTGAATCAACACTGGTAATAAGAATAATTTGAATTAATTTCACTAAGCAATAGACTGGCAACATAGTGCAGGTGGTTACCAGGGTCTCCTGGTAATGTATAATTAAATATATTAGCTTTGAATGAAATAGCATTTAATTGAAGATTGGGTTCTTAACTTTATTCCTCAGCATCACAGAATAAAATCTACGTAACATGACATTCTTCTGTATAAATTGTTGTAATTTGGCAAAAGCTCAAGCATCCTATTCAAGGGAAATTGAGGGCTTACACAGAAAGCACGTTGCCATGCATCCTGTTAATAGACATTATCCCAAGCACATCTTTCACTGGTTTAGTCTTCTCCAGTATTTGCTGTTTCACTTTTCAATTTCAGTAATGTTTAGGCCTATTTAATAGCTTTGTGTATCTCACTTTTTCTCTTTTTTTCTATCTCTTCCAGAACACCTGCTTGTTTACATTTGATGAAGATGCAGCTCATCAGAATCAAGAGCTTGGAGTAGAAGGAGTAAGAAGTGTAGTAAAATCTGCTGAAGAAAAGGTGAGCTTTTATTTTCTTGACATCCCTTAATTTATACAGCAGAGCCCCATGTATAAAACTGGTCAGCTCCTTACCATGAGGGCTGATGCATGCTCTCTTGAATCCTGTTTCTCTCCCTCCCTCCCTCCCCCCACCTCTCTCTTTTGTTAATGTCATTAGCACGTACAGGAAAAGGGGAAAATGTTTCAAACTGAGGTGGGCATGCTCTCAAAAACTTCAACTTATTTCGTTAGTTGTTTGCTGTTCTGCGCTGTTAAATATATATAATCTATGGATTGTTATCTATGATATATTAATCCTTACACAAAAAGTGTTTATTAGGAATTAATGCTTAGTAGTAAAGTATTAATAAAGGTGGATTCAGTGGATTGACATTTAGCTGTACTGTAGAATAGTTATAGTGTTTCGAAAAAAAGAGTTGCATAGAATTGGCAAAATAATAAAATGGGTACATTAAATAATCCTTTCTTTAGTAAATATGCTAGTAATTTGGATGCATGACAGAATTCAATCTAAACAAATTATATGATTTAACTGATGATATATGTTTTGAGTTGTTTGCAAATAACAGTTTTCAGCTTACTATTTTTTCACACAAAAAATGTAAGCAAGAATACTGGAAGCCTATTGGTTTACCAGAGTCCCATAAAAAGAAGATATAACTATTTAGTCTTTCTGACATCAAAATCATTCTTATTGTATAAAATGAAAGTATAGTTATGAATAAAGAGAATATGTGCCATTATGGAATAAATATAGAAGTACAGTCTATTCCTATGTAAATAAGAATAGGGTGATATCAGTTGGCAAACCAACCTTTGTATTTATATACTTCTTTATGTAAAATGTTATGCTTTCCTTGGATTGTGGCACACCTTAAGCAAACTTCATATTGCTTTGATTACATTATTAAATACATATTTTCTATCTAGAACTGAACATGCATTTATGTTAATAATTGATTTTTAAAAATCATCACAGAGTACAAATCAAAAGGTTAGTAATTATTGCTACATTTCATGCCCCTAGTGATACCTCCAGCAGCTCTCTGGGAGTCTTTATAAAAAAGCAAAATATGTTAAAAATCATTTAAAAGTGATAGCAGAATTTTTTTTTGATAATCAGAAACTTGGACTAAACATGAAGTTAGGAATATGGGGAAGGATTTGATAATTAGGGAAGAATATGTAGACTTACTCTGGTTTGAAAACAACATTATGTCTGATTATTCAGCTTCCCAATTGGCCTGTACTGACTGTTTTTCTAAAACAATAGAAGCATTAATTTCCAGAAAAGATAAACACTGACAAGTTCCTTAGTGCTTCTATTGTAATCTACTAATAAAACTTTAGAATTGTTCCAAGGTTGGAAAAACCCTCTTTCATGTATTCAGAAATAGTTAATTGTACATATGTTTACTCCTTTAAAGTTTAACCTGAAACCTGTATTTCTTTCTAGATATCATAATGTATTCAAACTTGCCATTCCTCACACATTCCATTTTACGAATATAGCTATTATATAGGCTAATGTTTCAAGATCAAAGAAGCCTATATTCTTCCTCTTGCACCCCTTTCTTTTCTTTAACATCCAGGTATCCCCAAAACCTGTTCAAACTACATACTATACATGAAATTTTGGTTTCTTGCAAAGTTACTTGTGAATTTCAGTTATGGAAGAACATGGCTTTGAAACTGGCAGCGCAATCAACAGTCACTCCTTTGTCAACCATCAGTAGCTTTACTTAGCTTTCTGTGGAAAGTTACAATATCTCTTCCACAAAGCTGATTCCCACTTGAGCAGCAACTGGCAATATCAGTCAATTATGTTCTTATTTAAATCACTTTCTAATAGCAGTAGAGTAACTCAAGTTTCTGATTAAAGTTCAGAAGGGTTAGGAGGATAAAGGTAAGCAAGAAAATCATTTATCTGATTAGCGTACAAAGATATGTTTTTAAAACACACAGTCTGATATGGTATGAGTTATATTCAGCCTCTACATTTTCATAGTTACGATATTTCTAGTTCTTTTCCCCAACTTGTTTTTGCAATCTTTTAAACTTCAGTGTGTTTACCGTAAGTGTGTGGCAGTCTTTACTTCATAATTCTCTTTTTCTAATCTTTATAAGCTAGTAGATTAATCAATTTATACAGCTAAAATATGGTTTACTGCATACATGTTGCATAAGTATAGAAAACTATTAATGCTAATTCTTTGCTGCCATCTAGTGGTAGTCCAGACTTTTGAGCAGCTTAGAAATTAAACTGATTCAGACAACCTTATTGTCAGGATTGTGCCTTCATCAGTTGGAAGTGAATGTAGAGGAAGAAAGAAATTGACAGCATTTTTTTCTCTTTTTTATATATAAGTTTTTTTATTTTTTCATTTTCATAACATAAAACCACATGTATATTATTACATAGCCAACATTGTATTTTATTAGTAAATGTTTACATCAATTCATCTTACCATCAACTCCCAAAAACAATTATTGGCTCTTCTGCTCTCCATACACCATATTTGTACTTTATCCATCACTTTCTTCTTCCTCTCTCCTCCCCCTCCCTACCTCCTTTCTTCCCTCTGTCATCCTTCGCTTCTCTACTTCCCCTTCCTCTCTCCTTCTCCTATCTCCCCTTCCACTCCTCCTTTTCCCCCACTACCCTATTCTTCTCTTCTTCCCTTACCTTTCTCCTCTACTTCACCCTCTTCATCTCATTTATTTGGTGTAATTCAGCTTCTGAGCGAGCTCCATTTTATGTTGATGGTATTTATAATTCCTTTTTAGTATACATGTTTAATTTTAACATATATCTTCCTCCTTTTTTCAAAAAGAGAGAAGAAATATATACCGTGTTTCCCCAAAAATAAGACATGCCCTGAAAATAAGGCCATGTCAGATTTTCAGGGTGGGCAAAAATATAAGCCCTCCCCTGAAAATAAGCCCTAGTGAAGGGATGGGTTTAACCAGAACAGGGGGCAACCCTTCCCTTCCCCGGTCACCTCAGGGCTTCTTGGCCCCTTAATTGGGTCAGCTGAACCACTCCATTCACAAAACAGCTGATTCACGGATGCTGCTCAGGCCTCTGCCTCCAGCAAACGCCGGTTGCTTTTGCAGCCAATTGTGGCTGCAAAAGAAGCCGGAGGCCAAGCAACACAACCCAAATGCCTCATGCCCTCCTTACCTAACGGTGACAGTCACAGCAGGCAATTCCGTCCATGGAATGGGAAAGGAAGGCATGGAAATCAGTATACCTGGGACATCAGAAGAAGCCCTGCGAGGAGACGCTGCTGCTGATGTGCAGGATATCCCACCCCCACCTGCAGATCGTCCTTTCAAAGAGAGGTTTCACCAGGATGGAGACACAAACGCTGCCTTCAGCCACCTCTTCGTCCTGGTGAAACTCCTCTTTGAAAGGACAATTTGCAGGTTGGGGGGGAGAGATTTCCTGCACTTTGGCAGCAGCGTCTCCTTGCAAAGTTTCTTCCGATGTCCCAAGTGTATGGATTTTCATGCCTACAGGAAGTCACTTCTCACCTGCATATTCACATAGAAGGCTCAAAATGAGGCATTTTTGTAAATGGCTTGAAAATATGGAGGAGGATATTCCTGCCTCTCACCCTGTTCTGAAGGTCACCACAGACTGAGAACAGGATAGGAGACAAAATCCTCCCTCCCCAATTTCAAGCGGTTTGCAAAAACGCCCCATTCCAAGCCTTCAGCATATTCCAGGATTGCAAGATTGAAGGCTCGAAATGGGGCATTTTTGCAAACGGCTTAAAAATGGGGAAGGGAGATATTCCTGTCTCTCACCTTGTTCTGAAGTTCAGCGCAGACTCAGAACAGGATAAGAGGGTCCCTCCTGGACCCACAGCTGACTTTTGACCATCATTTGTTGGCTGTGACCAGGGGGGCATTTGCCCAGGTTCGCCTGGTNTTATCCATCACTTTCTTCTCCCTCTCTCCTCCTCCTCCCTACCTCCTTTCTTCCCTGTCATCCTTCTCTACTTCCCCTTCCTCTCTCCTTCTCCTCCCTCCCTTTTCCACTCCTCATTTCTCTCCTCCTCTTCCCCCCTCCATGCCCAATCTCTTCTTCCCTTAGCTCCCTCCTCTACTCACACTCTTCATCTCTTTTGCTTGGTGTATTTCAGCTTCTGAGCAAGCTCCATTTTGTGTTGATGGTATTTATAATTCCTTTTCAATATACATATTTAATTTTAACATATATATTCCTCCTTTTTTTAAATAGAACCAAAAAGTATACATATATAGTCACTGTGTCCAAAACTTAAGCTATTGCATCAGCCTGATGGTGCAAGGAAATGCATTGGATTTCTGATGCAACCACTTTGCTAAGGCCTCTTGTCCATGAATTACAGAGACAAAGTGGGTATTAATAAATGTCAGATATAGTAGCGGCTTGTGTGTATGTAAGCTTAAGAAGCATGATTTTAAGTCAACTGTAAAGATATTTTATTTGTTTGTTGAAATACATTTATACAACTGACTCTCAGTGACTCTGGGTGGCTTACACAGATAAAAGCCCAATATAAAAACAAGAATAAGTAACTGCCCCCAATCTTATCTCCATGGGGATGATGCTCCACAGGGAGGGAGCCCTTAACAGCTTTAAAACCGCATGCATAACTTTAGTAGGACTTCATCCATACAGCTGATAAAGTGAGATGACGGAACAGTAAACCAGCGGAACTGCATGCCTCCAGAAGTTGTGGGTGCTTTCCTGGAGGATTTTAAAAAGAGACAACCATTTGTCTGAAACGGTGTAGGGCCGTGATGGCAAACCTATGGCACGCGTGCCCAAAGTGGCACGTGGAGCCATGCTGCCTGGCATGCACGGTGTCGCCCATTCCTCTTCCGGGTTTCTGTCACGCATGCGCACGCAACGATCAGCTGCCCTTGGTGGGTGCGGCAGTGCCGGAACTCGGAAGAGCTGGTCTTCCATTTTCTGGCATGAGCATGCACACCGGCCAGCTGATTGGCATGTGCCACATGCGCAGCAGTAACTGGAAGACTTTCTGGCGTGCCGGAAACCAGAAGTACATTTTTCTGGCACGCCCATGCTCCCTGGGCAGCTCCTCTTCCTGGTCACGGCCCAGACAAGCGCACAGACGAAGTGCTCTCTTTTTGACACTTGGTGCCACATGTGCATGTGCGCACTCCCTTTTTGGCACTCGGTGCTGAAAAGGTTCGGTATCACTGGGATAGGGTTTCCTGCTTGAGCAAGGGATTGGTCCAAGGCAGGGGTGGGTTTCTCGCCCCGTTCCAACCGGTTCGAGTGGAACGGGGCCGGCGGCGTCCTTGTGCACGCGTGCGGCGCACGCATGCGTACTAGCGTCTGTGCGATGCTCCA